GGTTTTATCTACAATCAAGGAAGTCGTCGGCAACAAATTTGGACCCGATCATGCTGCTTGCCTTTTTGATGGCTTGGTTCATGTCTCAAGTACCTGGACTCAAATGCTTTGGGCTGAATGGATCAGATCTTGGGGATTTTACTCAGTCATGTCCTATCGGTGTGGCCATGTTATTTTGGACATTTCGGAACCGAGTGGACCAACACAGACTAAAGGTAGATGTCATTAAGTTCTGCCTGTCCCCAAAACACAGTGGGTGGGTAGGTGTGTTTGTTCCGTCTGAAGTCCACGTCCATCTCCTTTCTCTTCTTCACATTGTTCTGAAGGTTGTTCTTTCTGCACCAGCTCCCCAGGTGTTCCACCTCCTGCCTGTAGCTGGACTCGCAGAATCATCATAGGATAGTTTATTTGAATTCAACATGCATTTGACTTTGAATGTATCTTTTTTTACTTGAAAATATTTAATTTAGGCAACATTTTGAGGTTTATTTGACTTTCCGCACTATTTAGCCTGTTGAGAGGCTTAATGTTTTCAATCCATTAAAGATTCTGTTACTTATATTTAAGTGTTTTTTCAGTTGCCCTTTTCACTGAATAGTTGCTGTATTGTGCCTGCAAGTTTTTTTTAATTGTCTTAAAAATTAAATAAAAACATGTTTTTGTCCAAATTAGATGATTTTTATGGTTCCTATTTTCCATATCACATAGCAAGTAGCACTGATCTTAACTAAATAAAAAAATTTACATGATTGTTATCTGTAATCGGCAGTGATTGGCACCATGGGTGATCGGTATCATGATCTGCAAAAACCTGATCGGAGCATCCCTAGTTGACACCTAAATAATTTAGCAAGGCTAAAGGACGTGATTTTACATAGTATTAATACAGTTATTTTGAGACTGACAGAGTTGAATTGAAATGTCGTGTTGTAGCTTTTAATTTTTTTTTAATTTGTGGAGTTTGCATTGTATTCCAGTTACACCTTAATTTTTCTGGGCACTCCAGTTTCCTCCCACAGACCAAAAACATGTATGTTAGGCCAATTGGTAACTCTAAATTGTCCCTAGGTGTGAGTGAGAAAGTGAATGGCTGTTTGTCTCGTTTGTCTTTATGTGGCCCTGTGATGGACTTGCGACCCGTCCAGGGTGTACCCCGCCCCTCGCACAGTGATTGCTGGACATGGGCACCGGCGACCCCCGTGACCCAAAATGGAATAAATGGGTAAAGAAAATGGATGGATGGATGGATAAAGAATTATAGTTCAAAGTAATTAAACATAAAAGCAGTGAAATAACAGTAAGCCTTATTTGGTCTTTAAGCAGTTGTAGAGCATTGCAACAACTAAATGTTATGACCCTCCAATTGGAAGTGCAACTTAACATTTTGTCTTTTTCTCTAGACTATGTTTGAACTTATTACGTCCGAAGCATCCTACTACAAGAGTCTGGAAATTTTAGAGACACATTTTCTACAGAATCCTGTTTTAATGAACACCCTCAACCAGTCTGATGCACATTTTTTGTTTTCCAACATTGAAGAAGTCATGGATGCAAGTGAAAGGTAGGACAGGATCACAGTGTGACGTATGAGAAATCTACTGCAAATTGTGACTGTGAAGAATCAGTGCATACTCTTTTTATTTTCTTCCTTATTTGCATGTACATACATTTTCAGGTTTCTAATGGATCTTGAGTGCCGCATAGAGAAGTCTATTTTGATTTCAGATGTGTGTGACATCGTTTATAACCATGCAGTAAAACATTTTGGTGTCTTCATCAAGTACGTCATTAACCAAAGGTATCAGGAAAATAACTACAGACGTATTTTGTGAGTATCTTGTTTGATTTCCGTATCTGTTAAAATGCATGGAATCACACTATGATGCAGTGTTGTATAAAGTACCTCAAAGTGATACTTCAGTGAAAGCACAAGTATCTTACCATAAAATTACTTTGGTAAAAGTTAAAGTCGCCGTTAAATTTATTACTTAAGTAAAAGTCTTAAATTATCAGACATTTAATGTACTTATCAAAAGTTAATTTCTCTTCTAAAATGTACTTAAAGTAAGAGAATTAAGTAAAAGTAAATGGTTAGAATTTCCAAAACAACATTTATTGGGTGCAATATCCAATGACAAAAACTTGGAAAGTTTGAGCTGAACAATTAAAGATTGCTTTTTAAAAAGTCTGATTCTAACAAAGTATATTCATTCAACTTTTATTGACAAAGCTGTTAGAAAGCTCACATTGTTGTGTAGTTGGCATGTTTACTGAGCTAGGTTCTGTTTGGTTATGGGTTGTTTCTTTCTGACTAATTAATAATATAGGATATATTATAGGATAATATAATAGCATAGGAACTAATAGTTCCTATACTAATAGTTCCTATGCTAATAGTTCCTATGCTCTTGAAGCAGTTCATGCCCTGGAGAACATCAAACTTCTTCTTTTAAGCAGCTACTGTCATTTTCACACCTATCAGAAATGTATCTCCACTGTGAGTCAACAAAGACCTATTGTAACGATTGATATCTGGCTATGCATCTAGCTTGTTCACAGTGGGAGCTGCAGGTTTAACACATGCGGCGGGGGAGGGGCTGGGTTTGTGATTGTCAGTGAGGGAGAGAGAAGTGGCCACGTGAAGTCACAGACTGGGAAAACAAACAGGCATCGTCCAATCAGATTTCTTCTAGTTTTAAATTTTAGTAACTAGTAACTAAGATGGTTAAGGGAAATGTATTGAAGTAAAAGTACACATTTTCTTGAGGAAATGTAGTGAAGTAAAAGTGAAAGTCACTAGAAATGTAAATAATGAAGTAAAGTAAAAATATGTAAAAATTCTACTTTTTTCATTCAACCTATATTTAGACAGGTAAATTCCATTGAGCCTCGAGGACTCATTTACAAGAGAGACCTGATTTTAACAAAGAATGATGACAACAATGGACAACAGCGACAACAATAAACAGTTATAAAAAGTCATACTCCAGTTTTTTTATTTTAAACAAATAGGATGGCTAAAAAAGGTAACAAAAAACAGCTAGATTCTAAGGTGAATGTAGAAAACTAAAAACAGGAACATGTCTGCATTGTTCCCTGCCAGGAGTCCAACAGATTCTTAAAGCCACTTAGAGAGGGCAAGGTCGAGAGTTTCAGATCTTTTTGTAAGGCAGATGTGCAGGCTAAGCCATTTGGAGCTGCGAACATATCCCGTCTGCTAACACCTTCTTCTTAGTTTTCCATGTGTTGCTTCCGTTGCTGAAGAAAATGGAGAGAAGATCTACGGACCTGGATGCTATTTATGTGGGCTAGACGTGGGCTAGATGTGGGCCCCACACAGTGGGTGGGCAAGGACTAGAGTTTTATTTTCAGTGTTGCGCACTGCGCATGGGGTAAGACCTAAGATTGCAGCTTAAAGGGCAAGTCCGTATGAAATATAATTTAGCATTTTGGCTTGTTTCAAAGTAATTCTGCCAAAGTGACAGCTAGAAAATACAGCAGTGATGGTCTCAAGCTGAGTTTGGTTTGAATGGGAAACTGTGAAACTATGAAACCGCTCATATCATCACAGTCCCTGTGACCCACATCTTCAATCTCTCCATAAGACAAAACTCCATCCCAGACACTTGGAAAACAGCCTTTGTTCTTCCTTTGCTGAAGGGAGGAGACCCCACCTCACTGAACAACTATCGACCAATCTCTAAACTCTGCATTTTAACCAAGGTTCTAGAAAAACTGATAAACTCTCAAATCAAAAATTACCTGGACTCATTTAACATCTTACCTCCACATCAATCTGGTTTCAGGAAACAACACAGCACAACCACTGCTTCACTGAAGGTTCTTAATGATGTTGTTGAAGCACTGGATGCAAAGGATTATTGTGCTGCACTTTTCTTAGACCTGTCTAAAGCTTTTGACACTGTGGATCATAACATCTTGTGCCATAAGCTCTCAGAAATCGGTTTCTCAGATCACACCATTGGTTGGTTCTCTAACTATCTTTCAGACCGGAGGCAATGTGTTCAACATAATGGTACTTCCTCCAGTTATTTAACAGTCAACAATGGTGTACCACAAGGCTCAGTCTTAGGACCCACCCTCTTTACAATCTACATACATAATGTAGGTAAAAACATCCCTAATGCATCCATACATTTCTATACTGACGACACAGTTGTTTATTGTCGAGCTAAAACTGTTGCTAAGGCTTTCCAGCTTTTGAAATCTGCATTCAACATCATCCAGACTGATTTGTTTCACCTCAAACTTGTCCTAAATGCCGACAAAACCAAAGGGATGCTTTTTTCAAATAGGAAGTTGGTCCCAACAGTTCTTCCTCCGATTTTATCCTCAAATGGTGTCCCCATTGAGTTTGTTGATTCCTATAAATATTTGGGTATCTTGGTCGACTCACATCTCTCTTTTAAGCTCCATGTGGAAAACTTGATAAAGAAACTGAAAGTTAAACTGGGTTTCTTTTTCAGAAACAAATCCTGTCTAACCCTGAATGCTAGAAAACGCCTTGTATCTGTGACTTTCCTTCCCTCAATTGATTATGGTGATATTATTTACATGAACGCTCCTACAAGAACCCTGCAGATGTTGGATGCTGTCTATCATGGTGCACTAAGATTCATAACTGGCTGTGATTATCGTACCCACCACTG